CCAGGAATCTGTTGCTGGCTCCGCGAACCCAGAGCTCGTCACAGTCTCCTGGCTCGGCTGCGGGACGCGGGGAAGCAGGGAAGCGGCAGGGGAAGCTCCCTCCCCTTTCCCAGGGAAAGGAAGGAGAGACAGGGAATCCGCTTGTCTGCAGTGCTCGGCATGGGGGAAACTGAGGCACGGGGTGGCAGCGTGAGGGAAAGGGGGGCAGTGAGGGTGGCCTGGCACTGCCGGGCTGGGACGGGGGTGGTATGTTGGCACAGGGCCTGGCATTGCAGGAGGGCAGCCCTGCTCAGGGAAGGGGCATCACCACTGCAACGGAAGCGTGCAGGCAGGGGTGAAATGGATAAAGGGATGCCCCAGCCGTGCCTGGGCATCCCTCATCCACAACCGTGGCTGCCCCTGGACATGCCATGGAGTGCCTCCATGTGAGGGCAGAGGGTGGCTTGACAGAACATCGGGGGGCTCTGGGCTGACTGGGAGGAGGATGGCGCCGGCACTTGGGAAAGGGTCCGGGTCCGGGTCCCAGCAGCTGCTTCCCAGCACCCGCACATGTGTGCCGGCAGCGCCCTGCACAAAGGCGGCTCTGAGGCCCTCCAGCGCCAGGCCTGGCGCCGGCACATCCCCAACGGGGCTGCCGGCTGTGGGCAGCTGGAACCACATGGGGATGGAGCCGGCTGGCCATGGACAGCCCCGGCCACCCTGCCAGGCACCCGCACCCTTCCGCACCTCTACCAGAGCAGGCACCCAGCTTCTCCCTGGGTGGGGAAACGGTGTCCCCTGTGGGTGCCACCCTAGCACAGGACGGGTGGGACGTCCTGATGACACCCTCCAGAACAGCCACCAGGGCTTTGTGGGCACGTGCCCTGCCCGGTGGCAAGGGTCCTGCAGAAGGTTCTGTGGGCCGCGGTGCTAGGGCCGTGCCTGGCATGCGGGTGTCACAGAGGCCCTCGCCAGCCTCCTGCCCCACGCAGCTCCCTATTGTCTGGCCTCATTAGCTGCTGCCTGCTTGCGGCTTTGAACATGAGCAGGGCTCCGGCGGCAGGAAGGAGCCTCTGCTCCCCGGGGATGGGGACGAGGCAAAACCGCACACCCCGGGCCCCTTCCCACCGCCTCCCGGGCACCCCAGCAGCCATGAACCAAGAGCCAGGAAGGCGCAAGGGGCACTCCCTCTTGCCAAAAGGAGCCCCCCTCGGCCGACCAAGGGTGCAGAGAGCCGTCAGCCTCCCCAAAGCTTTGAGCCGATTGCGGCTTGCACCGTGACTAATCCCCCCGGCCTCGCACACACGCGGCAGGGTGGGGAGGGGGGGCTGTCGTAATGGGTGGAAATATCTCATAATTCACGTTGGACACGGGGATTACAGCCGTTCCAGCAATATTTGCACAACTGGTAGGCGGCTTGCAGCACTGGGCTGCCCCAGACGAAAGCCAGGGGGGTCTGGGGATGGAGGGGGGTTTGGGGGTGGCAGGTACAGGGATGGGGATGCAGTTTGGGGGAGTGATGGAGGACGTGGAAAGTGGCTGTTTTCTGTCTGTGAACACATGGACTTTATTATGGAGGGTGCATTGCTGGCATGGCGGGGATGGTTGGGGCTCTCTTCATCCTGGGCTGCTGCAGCAGGCACAGCTCAGGGAGCAGGATGGAGACCCCAAAGCAGCCTCATCTGCCATGCCAAGCAGATCCTGGCTTTGTCCTGGAGTACCGTACCTGCTTCTAGCACCCGTCAACGCCATAGAGCTCCCTGCTTATAGGAGCACCCAAAGGTGCTGGTGTTTCCTTGGCCCCAAATGCCTGCTCCTCCCCTTGCTGTGGGGCAACCCCAGCAGGGGGAAGGTGGGGGGCATGGAGGGCTGTGTTTGGCATGGGGATTAGCAAACTCCCAGATTGATGGTGGTCTCCCCCCTCCCCACCGGACATGCAGACAAATATTTGTGCCCAGACTTCGCAGGACAGCGAGAAGGAATTTCATTCTTGCGCCCACCTGCGGCTCGGCCGCCTGGCATTAACCCATTCACCACCCCGCGGGATGGAGGCAGAGGCCTTAGGTGCCCTCCCGGCACCCCCTGTGCCCCTCATTATGGTGGGGAGCTCAGCTGAGGAGCAGGATAGGAGAAGGGGACACAATGGGGTCACCCCAAATTCCAGCAGAGCCATTGGCACAAGGTGAAATGGAGCGGATGCAGGGTTCACCCATGAGCATCCTCTGGACAGTACCCAGGGCTTTGCGCTGGGTGCCGGGCAGCCTGCTGGGAATTAGGAAAGATGGGGAAAACCCTGCCAGCATCACCCCGTGAGCTGCAGCACCCCAGCCAAGGTGCCCTTTGCAAGCCCATATGCCCAGCAATACCGTGGGACGGGCTGGCCGGGAGCAGAGCGTGGTGCAGAGGGCATGGGGAGCAGGATCCGACCACGGATGTTTATTGGCAATATGCAAATGTGAAATGGGCCGGAGGGGTCAGGGGGCACCCAGTCCCCGGGGTTGCCCGCACCCAGGGAGCGGACCGGCTGTGGTAGAGGGTCCCCCGCTGCCTGGCTCTCCCACAACGCTGCTGTGCTCTTTTCCCTGGTCCCGGGGCCAGCTGTGCCCTGAGCAAACGGGGCTGTTTGCTCACGCCGGGATTAGCTGCTTGCTTTGTTCCTTTGACTTTCTCCTCCCTTTATGCCGGACCCTTTCATGGGGGCTTCAAAGGGGGTTGGGACCCCCCTCCCTGTCCCTGGAAGCCCAGGTTTGCTTCCCATGCCCCCCCCGCCTTGCACTGACATCCCTGGGGGTGCCCACCGAGCACATCTGGGTGGCCTGCGGGTCAGCAGCTGTGCCACATGTCGTCCCGTCCACCCCCTTCCGCCTGGCACCTCCGGCTACCGTCAGCACCTTGGCGAAGTGGGTGCAAACAGCCGCCCCCCGCAGTGGGATTCCCGGCACTTTGCACCCTGTAAGGAGAGGTGGGAAACTTGGCACCAGGATCTGGCCAGCTGCACAGCCTCACAGCAACACCCCCCCCCCCCCCCAGCTTCCTGCCCCCTGCCAGATACCTGCTCACCTCGGCCAGAGCCTCCATGCCACAGCGAGCTCTCTGACCCTCACCCCCCTTCCTTAAACAGCATGCAGCATCTCTGGATTTGGGCTGTGGGAAACAAAGCGGACCAGCAGCAGGGGCTCCCCCCACATCCTCTTCTGTCTGCCTGCTGTTGTCAGCAAACACTGGCAATGCCCTTCTCAGCAGAGGAATACCAGCTGCCCACAGGAACGGGCTCCTGCTGCCCACCAGCTTCTGGCATGGCTCAAAAAGAGCATTTTGAAGTAAAGGGGCTGCTGAAGGCAGCTTGGATGCCTTGGTGCCCACTGGTGTCCAGCAGACTTCCAGTTTCCAGCAGCTGTCTGGTTTCCCTCGATGGATCCATCTGCCTAGTGATGAGTATAAGTAGGGAGTGCAGCGCACTGCAGCCCTCCAGCCTGGCACCATCAATGGCTTTGCTCCCTGGGAGGGATGGGGACCTGCGCATGGCAGGGACTGACACGGGGCCAGTGGCAGGAGCGAGGCCAGCACTGTCAGAGGGGCTGAGGGTGCTGTCAGGCGTGTTTGCAGCTTGTCACGTCCGCAGAGACGAGGCACGGCCGTGCAGGGGAAGCCTGGCGGCGTTTGACCCCAGTGCTCATGGCTCCCACCAGGGGTGCCCCACGTGAGCCAGGCTGCCAGCCTCATCCCTGCAGACACAGCACCCGCTGGGCACCCCATGACCTGCAAGGTGGGCTCTGGGGGCTGAGCAGGGCATGGGGCAGGCAGAGCAGGGCTGAGGTGTTTACTCCGACTGCTGTCACCCGGCCAGGCACTGCCGGGAACCGCTGGCCACAGGGACAGGGGTGGGAGTGTGCTAGAGCAGTGGTGTGAGAAGGAAGTGCAAGGCTGCAGGGAGACCAGGAGCTAGAGGACATTAGCTGGAGGGGTCCCCCGCCAAAGGGAAGCGTGCGGAGGGCTGCCTGGCTCCCAGAGTTATCAGAGCGTGCATCCTGACACGTGCCACAGGAAGCGTGCGTGTGCATACACAGGTCTGAGGGTGCACGTAGGGGGTGTTCGTACGTGTGCTATTTGGGCACACACATGCATGTATACGCAGGTATGGGTGTGTGCACCCCTCACCCCAGCAGCCAGGGTGCTCTAGGGCAGGGGCTGGGTTTGCCAGGGGGGATGTGACAGCCATGCCAGGGCCTGGTGGTGGACAGACCCCCAGTGCTTCTCCTATACAGGAAGGGGGTATCCGTGGGTACTTCACCCATCCACAACCAGTACGTCTGGTGAAACAGCCCCAGGGGACCACGTGCCAGACAAACCCCTGGACTCCATCACCTTCCCTGGCTCGGAGGGGTCCCCATGCATCACAGCCACATCACAGATCTCCAGGATCCTGAGTCACCCCTGGGTGCTGGATGCAGGGAGCAGAGCCCACCTCTGGGCAAGGTTCACTGGGGTTGGGTTCCACCTCTGGGTGAGGATCACCAGGGTTGGGGTTCACCCCTGGATAAAGTTGACCAGGGATGAGGTCTGCCTGTGAGTGAGGGTTGCAGGGGTTGAACCGATCTCCAGTTCAGGGCTTTTGGTAGCCTTCATGCCTGGCTGCCAAAGCCAGGCGCAGGGACCTGTCGGGGTGATGATCCCAGTGTCACCCATGCCATCCGTTCTGCAGGTACCAGGGCCACCTTCACCCCGTGGCCAGGCACAGCTGAGGCGCTGACCGCTGGAGTGCCAGCAGCCAAGCGCTCAGGCCAGGGGCCAGGTGAGCAGCCCCAGGGACGCCTTCCCTACGCCCTGCGCCAAGGGAGGAAGCGGCCGGAGGCAGGAAGCCGTCCCCCGGGCCCGGGGCCCCCGCGGCAGTTTTGCCTGAAGGTCAGTGGCGACACAACAGGAAATCGCGCTGCCTCGGCTGGGCGGCCAGGCCGGAGCCGGAGCGCCGCGCCGCGCCGTGCTGTGCTGTCCCGTCCCGTCCCGTCCCGTCCCGGGGGCAATCCCGGCCCCCGGTCTTCCATTCCCACTGGGCAGCTCGCGGGGAGCCCGCGCCACCACCGCCCTCCATGGAAGGGGGACGGGAGGCAGGGAGCAGCCGCTGGCCCCAGGGTGGAAGATGCAGGGCCGAAGCCCCCAGCTGAGCATGGAGCTGAACAGTGAGTGCGCAGCCAAAAGGGGGGACGGGAGCGAGCAGGAAGGGGCATTGCTTTGGCAGCAGACACCATGGCTGTACAACCCAAGCGTCCGCTGCGTGGGTACCCCAGGAGATGAGCCCCACAGGTGGGCAGCAAACCTCCAGTGTGGCTCTGGTTTGCTTGGACCTGGCTCCTACCAGCGCTCATGGGCAGGCGAGCATCTCTCCATGCCTGCCCTAGGGAACAGACTGTGCAAAGGCCTTCTGGGGACAGGTGTAGTGCCAAGGCAGGTGGATGCACACAGGGTGTTTGGAGAGGAGACGCCTAGTGCCAGGATGCTGCAGCTGCCTGGCCAAGAGACATCCTTGGCAGCAGCATGCCAGCAGCGCTGGGGAAGGCGAGCTCTTGGCCAGAGCAGCGGTGAGCAGCTGCACACTGCAGGATGCTGCAGGCAGGGATTCCCCATAGTGCACGTGACACCCAGAGCTGCTCCTGGCATAGATTCGGAGGCCTGGCCCTGGCTGTGCAGGGAGCGTGGCTCTGCTCCCCGCTAGCAGCCCAGCTGAAAACCCTGGTACAAATGTGGCTGTGCGGCCCTTGGCACACACCACCAGCACAGAAACACTGGCTCTTCCTGGCACCTGTGCTAACTGACAGGGGTGCAGCACCTCACGCCCTCCCGCAGCCCCCCCTACACCTCTCCCTGCATCCCCCCCCATCGGGCCAATAAAGCCACCAACGGGCTGGGGTGAGGGTTGCCACTGCAGGCATGGCCACAGGGCTGGACCTGAACGGGGAGGATGGCATGGTGCCCAAGGTAACCCAGTCTCCCCCAGGGCTGCTCCTCCTCACATCCTTTCTCCTGCACATGGAAGAGGGCCATGCCAGCTCAACACGGCTGGTCTGCGACAACAGACTCATACAGAAGTACATTGGGGAGGCCAAGGACATGGAGAAGAGAGTGGTGAGGATACAGTGCCCCCCGAACCCAAGACGAGTGGTGGGCACAGCTCCTGGTATCTCACCTCAGCATCTCCTGTTCCCCACAGGGAGAGTGCCAGGTGCTGCCTGCACTCAGCTGTCCTGCAGTGCTGCCCTTGGTGGACTTCAGCCTCCAGCAGTGGAAATCCAAATCGGTGAGAGGGGCTGGGAGGATGGTGCTGGCACTGCGGTGCTCACAGGGCTCAAGAAGGAAATTCTGGTTTGGCAGAGGCACCGTAAGTGCCAGACAAGATGTCTGTGAGCACACTTGGTAGTACGGGGGATAGAGAACCCCCCTCCAGACCTAGGGTGGGCATAGAAATGAGCCAGGCCTGGGATCAGCCTGCTTGCTGCCTGCTCCCACAGAACGAGACCAAGCGGCGGGAGATCCTGTGTGACATGGCACTGCTGGTGGGCGCTGTGGTGGGTGCCCAGGGCCAGGTGACCGAGCCGTGCGGGGCCAGGCAGCTGAGCCAGCTTTACCAACACGCCAACTCCTTCCTCCTGCTCCTGCAGACCTTCAGCTGGGAGGTGAGGCCTCCCACCTTGGGCCAGAATATCCTGGGGCAGCGCTGGCTGCACTGCACTGGGTATGGTGGCATTTGTCATCTCTTGTCACACTCTCAACCCTCAGGCAGGCCCCTGGGAGCCAGGCTGCTCCCCACGCTCCATGGAGCAGACCCACATCACTGGCATCTTCCTCACTTACCGGCAGCTGGTGCAGGGCAAGCTGCGCTTCTTCTTCCACGACCTGGCAAAGGACTTGTGCAAGCAAGGCCAGGCAGCTGGCACAGACCCTCGGTGCAGGGCCTGATGAGGCTGTGCATAGGGCTCACAGCCAGATGCCTAGCTGTGCTCTGGGTACCCAGGAAGGTGCCCACAGGGAAAGGGTTGGCTGCTGTTTAAGCCTGCTGTGCCCACGCAGCCCACGGAGACAGACAGCAGCAACACCCACGCACTGGGCACATGCTCTGCTCCCACCCAGGCAGGCACCTCTACTGTGAATGCTTTACAATTAAAGAGCTATTTTTATAACGGGCTGTTTGTGTCCTTTCCTGCCGCCGCTGTGGCCCTGCCAGGGGCTTGCACACCCCAAGGGCCTCACCTCAATAAGCCGCAGCCGCTCTGGCTCTCCCCGCAGCGCCCAGCTCCCTCCCGCGGCAGCCGACAGCGCTGCAGGGCAGGCGGGCTCTGGCCGGCACCTCACCGCGTGCACCTGCCTGCCGGTGCCTAGCCCCAGCGTGCAGCACCCGGAGGGACGGCACAGGACAGCCCGGGGCAGGTTTGTACTGCCCATCCTTTGGGAAAGTGGTACAGGCTCTCTCTGGCCCCCCGCACAGGCGCATCCGCTCCCCAACAGCCTCAGCCAGCAGAGACAGATCCAGAAAACATATCCTAGTTTAATCAACAAGCCCAGCTTGCCTCAGTATGGTTCCTTAGGAAATGGTGCCCAGCCCTAAGGCAGAGACGTGGCTGTGCCAGTCCAGCTGCCCCTGGCCAGAGCCAGGACTGCAGAACCAGCTGGTCTCCACTCAGTTATCAGGCACCCCTCTCCTTGCAAGGGGGGCTGCAGATCCCAAGAGTCAGAAGAAGCCAGGATTTGGAGGGGGACTGCTCCCTCTTCCCCAGTTCCAGAAGGGCCAGACAACATGGACACGGAGGTGGGATTTGGGATCACAGGGCTCCTGTTTGCTTGCCAGCAGAACATCTCTGGGGCAGCCCACAAAGACAGGAAATTTCCTAGAAGGCCAGCTTCTTCATCAGCAGGTAAACTCGAGAGTCCACTTCAAACCCATGCAGGTTGTTTGCATCTCCCTGCAGCCGCATGAGCAGCCCCCCATAGGACACGTAGGCAGAGCTGGGGTAGGAGAAGAGGAGCAGTTAGAGTGAAAAATGCTACAAGAAACCTGGACTGAGATCCCAATGCCTCCCGAGCTCCACCCCCCGAGCTCCACGTTCCCCTGCTCCCACCAGTAAGCACTTACAGGCGTGTGGCTGCCTCCGTGGAGGTCTCATCCCCCTCAATCCTGTACACCTTGCCGTACATCACATACTCGAACTGGTCTGCCCTGAGAAGAGTCAAATTCAGGTATTCCTCCAGTTGAGCATTCTTTGAGAGAAGGAACCCCAGCACCTCACCCCCCTGACACACCTGTGTTCCCAGCTGGACCCCCATACCTGGACGGCCTGTCATCTGTGGGGTTGTACTCGCCATCATCCAGTGTGCCATCTTCATACAAGGTGCTGGCAATAACCAGGCGGAATTTGTCCCCTGGGAAGAGAGGGCAGAGGAGCAGTGAGAAGGTGAGGGTACAGCCGCACCAGATCTCAGTGTGGTGGCAAGAAGATGTCCTGGCAGGTTTAGCACAAACCCGTCTCTGCCTTCAGTTCTCCAACAGGACTGAGGAACAAGAAAAAGGTCATCCTGAAGCATTTGTCTCCCTGCTCCCCACGGATACTGGTCACCACCACAGACAGAACAGAGCCACCAGGGCACCACTGCTGCTGTTTTCATGGCATACAACAAGATATTCATGGGGACAGTCCCAGAGGACTTGGCTGAACCATGGGCAGCAAGTGCAAGACCCTGCAACAGCAACACCAGCTCTTCTGTGTTTCACTGAGGATAAGACTCTTTTCCACCTAATATATTTAGTCACAGAAGCTCATTTTTAAGGTCTCCCTCAAAGCTTTGTTGCCACCAGATGAGGCAGTTTCACTAGACAGCATCTCTGGGGACAAGCCCAAACACATTCAGTATGGCAAACCACAACCCAGTTCAACACCAGCATGCTGAGAGTGCCCAGTACCTCCTGGAGGCAAACACAGGGGCCCAAGGAAGTCTGAGGCAGCTCATTCCTTGCTCATAGCTAATTTAGCCACCCTCCTCCAAGCACCAGCACGCCCCTCTAACCTAATCCACCCAAGGTGATACTGGCTCAGGCTTGGCACCCTCTGGACTAGCAGCCCAATGGCTTACCGAGGTCCACGGGGTAGATCTGGATGTTCACATCCAGGATGAGGTCCATCTTGAAGGACTCGCTCTCACAGTGCAGGCGGGACACTGTGGAGAGCAGCAGTCAGGGACAAGCACAGAGAAGACCCCAGTGACTGAGTGGGAACAGGGCTCCCACCCACCCCTGGTTAGCTCCCGAGCTATTGGGGGAAAGGGATGCTCAGGGGTGGGCCCAGGGCTGGGTACCAGGGCCTGGGAGCAGGCCTCTGCACGCACAGACAGGGAGAACCACGGGAGCGGTACGCACCGGGGAGCCGGCCTGGGGAAGAAGCACGCACCGGCGTGCGGCAACACACGGTGGGCAAATGGCAGGTACAGTGAGGAGCCACCGCCGACGGGCAGGGCGGAGGGGTCCCGCAGCAGGCTGAGGGGGGGCACAGGACGGCGCGGGAAGGCAGCGCCGAGGAGCAGCAGGGCCCCACTCACCACGGTCGAACTTCTTCCCCTCGGGGTCGATGTCCTTCACGTCAAAGATGTCCTCGAAGAGGATCCCGGCCATGGCAGCGGCCCCGCTCCTCCGCACCACACGCACCACTAACACAGACCCACCACCACCGCGCGGGAGCGCTTCCGCCGTGGGGAGGAAGTAGCCTCAGGTCACATGGGGCGATTCCCGCGCCTGCGCACTGCTGCGGACCGGCGGCGGGGCTCCGCGCGGCCCTAGAGCCCGCTGGTCCCGGTGCCGCCGGTTTCCCGCTGTAGGCTGCCCTGCGCGCCCGTCAGTTACGGGGTGGGGCATTGCAAAGGGGGTGCGGTGAGATGGGGGAGCGCTGCAGCGGAGCTGCATTGCAGGGCGGGGGCAATGCAACGGGGCGGGGCACAGCAGTGGAGGGCTGCCAGGGCGCATGGTTCCCTCCGCTGGGGTGCCCATGCCGAAGGTGTCGGTAGGGGGAGCTGCGAGGCCGCGGATGACTCCGCGCACTCTACGGTCTCTGTCACGGCTACAGCCACAGATGGCCCCGGCCCGGAGGCCCCCGTTCGAAAGCCCCGAGGCGTGGGACAGCGGGGCCTCACCGGGCCCTCCGCGGCTGCAGCATCAGTCTCAAGAGCTGCGCAGACTCAACCACCGAAGAGGCCGCGGTGCTGCAGCCTCCGGCCGCTCCTCCCCCCTCTCACGACGGCTTTCGGGGGCAGGGAGGTGCGGCGGCCGCCACCCGTGTCCTGCCGATGAACCGTGAGGGGAGCCGGCCTCTGGCAGGGCTGGGGGCGGCTTACACCGGGTGCTCGCACGCCTGGCGTCTGCTGGGGAGCCGGCGGCGCGGGATCGAGAGTGCATCCTTGCCCCCCCCCGCACCTCGATGCCGCCGCCCGCCTGCCTTAGTTGGGTTTTCGCAGGCTCGGGTGGGACGTGGCAGCCAGGACCCTGTGCCCCATTTGAGCAGGGGTTGCCCGCCTGGACATGGCATAGATGGGGCTGGCATGGAGGTGGGGGGTGGTGTCCTGGTGTGACAGGGACCGAGGAAGGTGGGTGGCACAGCGCTGTCCGTGCGGCACATGGCAGCAGCAAACTGGGGACCATGAGCATAAACATCCATGGGACATGGATCCCCGTGTGTGGCCTTGGTGTCTGCAGTGCATGCTAACCCCGGGAGCCAGGCATCTCTGGGACATGGCTTGGGGTGGCACCCAAAGTCGAGGTGTCTCCGGCATCTGCGTTGGGGTGCCTGCTGTAGGATGTCTGTGGTACCCAGACCCACCTGGGTGTGACCTCTACACAGTGTGTTCCCCTGTGACACAGGGCCCCCCTGACTCGGTGCCAGCGCACCCCTCATGTGTGCGTGCAGTGCACTCAGTGGGGGGCAGGATGGTGACGTGTTGGAGACGGTGGCATGACGGGGGTGCTGGTGTGAGGGGCTAGGGGCCCCTGGGGGGGGGTACACGGGCGGTTCACGAAGGGGTCCCCCCGCAGCAGTGGTGCTCAGCAGGGACAGCCTTAATGCGCGGCGACATAACCTCGGCTCCTTCTAATCATCGTCTGGGCGAGCGATCCCCCCAGGCCCACGGCCCCTTCCCACTCTGCCCACCCGGGCACAAACCCATCTGCCACAGTGTGGGGTACATGCCCAGGCACCCAATTTGACAGTGCAGGGCGTGGGGTGTGGACCGCCCAAAAGCTCCCTATGCCCCCCCCTCTCACCCTGGACCCTGGGGTGCCCCTGCTTGCTGCGGGGAGTGCGGGTCTGGGCTGTGAGGTCCTGGGCCCCCTGCGTGGGACGCCGTGAGGGGGATCCGTGGCTGTGCACGCTGCCAGAGGGTGGCAGCAGCACACCGAGCATGGCAGAGCACCCCCAGGGTGGTCCGGAGGGGAGACCCCTGCCCCGGCCAGGCTCACCAGTCCGACCAGTTGCCCCCTCCAGCACCCCCAGGATGCCATCCTAGAGGGATGTGACCTATCAGGCCGGGGCCAGCCGGCCGGGGCCCGTGTACCAGCCCCGGGTGTGCTCAGGGATACCCCGTGGGAGCCCAGTGCGATTCAGGCAGGGAGGCCCTGGCACAGCCGTGCTTGGACGTTGGCAAGGCCAGCGCGGGGTGACACAAAGAGCTTACCCCACCCGGTAGTCCCTGCCTGCCCCTGCTGAGGCCGGCGGGCAGCCGGGGCTGTGCTCACCACCCGGCGATGCTGCTGCCCGCAGACCCTGCCAGCCGGCAGTGCCGTCTGCTCCCTGCCCTTACGGGACCGCACACACCTGAGCCCCGACCCCGAGCGCCCGCGGGCACGGCCCCATGCAGGGGTCACTGGCACGCAGCCACCCGCAAGGCCAGCTGGCTGGGGGCAGATTTCCAGGTGCCCTCCAGATGCCACGGTGGCAGCAGGAGCCCGGCACAGCCCTGAACCTCCAGGCACTGGCTGCAGCATCGCCATGGTGCCAAGCCCCCTCCTTGGCCCCACACCCAGGCAGCCCATGGGGCAGAATCAGACAGGGGGCTGGTCCTGGCATAAATCCAGCCGGAATTGGCAGAGGAGGGAGTACCCCACTTTTCCCTGCACTACAACCCCAACTACCGCCACTCTGACCGT